TGCAGGGACCTCACAGGCCTTGGTAAGTAGTAGTTTGGGTTTAGTTCTAAACACAGTAGAAATCTATTGCAGAGTTTTAACCATGAGAATAACATGTTACAATTTACATTTTACATCATTTTGGCAGTTTAGAGGGCTATATTCAATTATAGGGTGCAAACACAGATGCTATCACAATGGTCCAACAAGAGAGAGCAGTTTGTGCTAGCTTGGTAATAACAGAGATAAAAATAGATAGCCAAATTCTAGACAAGTCTTCACCCATGTCCTTGGAAGTCTCTTCATCATGGGAAAGTTATCTTTAAAAGAATTAATGCTATGAATCATGTATTTTACTGTTTAATGAAGTGCAGTGGAAAGAGAGACCGGATTTAAATCTCAGCAGGGCCTTAGCCTAGATACTTTACCAAGTTACTTAACACCAATGAACAACAGTTTACTCATCTATAACATGGGAACAGCAACACCTACATTTCACAGAAGAGTTACGAGGTTTAAATAAGGATGCTTGTAACCTGCCTATATATTTTGTTCCTACACAGATACTCTACAAATGTTAATACGCAACCCCACCCCTTTAGTAACAGCATTTTCTAAATGGACTGAGTGGAAGAGATATTTAATACTGAGGAATGCATTTCTGATGGTGGAATCTCAAGCATCAGAGTACAGGAGATATTTTGAGGTAGGAAAGCATTCTCCTAAAACCAACTGTTTACCTCACCAACTGGGACATAATGGAGCCTTCATCTTACTGTAAATACTCATGAAAAATTTGATCTTCAGAAAAAATAAACAATTATGTTGATGAATTCTGATCAAAATACAAAGGTAGTTAATACAATCCAACTTCAGTAAGAAACATTAATTTCAACTACTCTAAAGCTTACTATGGAACAATAAAACACTAAGTATTTTATTAAGCAACAATTATCCTTACACTAACAAAACTATATTTACAGAAGGGAAAAATCAGAACAGGATTTTCATTTTAGCACGTTAGAATAAATTCTCACAACAGCTAGGTTTAAATTTGCCATTTAAAGCGAACACTTAAAAGCTGATGTTTGCTTATTTGCTATACAGAATGCTTTTAAGACTCAATACCATTGACATTACATTTATAAATGCTTTATTCTATATAGTGGGACTCAATATAATTAATGTCAAGGTTTATCTAATTTTGGTCTTTTAAAAATTACTGAATTTTCAACATCTGAAACAGTAAAAATTTTTCATCTACCTTGACATACTCCGGAATGTCCTAGGATTTTTATTCATTTTAATTGATTTCAAACTAAATACTTTATGTTTCCTGAAAAGTAGGAGATATACAGAGGAAAAATTAGTATGATTTTTCAGAAAAGAAAATGTATTCCCACTCAGATAAATATCATGACACAAATTGGAAAGAGTGTTTCTTCACCCACACTAGATGATCTGTTTTTTCTACATACTTCCTTTTCCAGTTTGTTTACTTGAAGAATAAAATAAAAGATAATGGAGGGAAACCTGAGGCACAACATGCCTATATTGGTTAAAACAACTTATCCTAAATAATAATTAGTATGAGAGGGAAGGAGTTGAGGCCTCAGGCAGGCATTAAATATCTATTCTTCAAGACATCCAAGACACTTGTTTTTATCCATGGTTAATATTCAGCTGAGACACACCAATATGGCTAACTGAGGTTTGTATGACAAGTATCTGTTCCAATTGCTTTGGGCCCATACTATGCCAACTGTTAAATATTCTTATTGTCACTTACACTATATAGTCTCGTGGCCTCGGATTACACCCAAATGCCTGAACTCTCCCTCATGGGCTCTTGATTTGAGACTTCCACTTACAGTTATCTCTATATGTAGCTTTACATATATATGAAGGCTACCTAGGCCCAGTCCACTGAAGTCATGCAAAGAAACTAGATTGTCAGTTTCAGTGCATTTCCATACTTCTTTATTAACAATTGGGATATGCTTGCAGATTTCAGAATAGCCAACCAAGTAGAAATAGTATTAGAAAATGGTTAAAAGACTAGATAAAAACACTAGACTGACGTTCAAATCCCAGTCTTTCTCTTCAATTAACATTCTTGAGTCTCAGATTCATCAACTGTAAAATGGAAACCAGACTATTTACCTCACAGAACAGTTATAAGAATTAAATGATATACTGCATGTGATAATATCTGTGTACTACACATAAGTGATCAAAAAATGCCTACTGAATTTGGATCTATTCACTATGAAAGACATGGTTTACATTTCTGGGTTCATAATTAAAAAATAAATAAATAAAACTTTAAAGGGCAGAGGCAAAGACACAATTAAAAGGTTCAAAGAAAAGACCTTAAGGAATCAGTATCGCTTAACATACAGAAAGGAAAAAGATCACAATTTAATTTCCATTTTATAAGATAAAAAAACAAGGCAAGAGAGTGGGTTAAGATGAAGGACCAAGAATTTTGGCTAAATAAAAAGAATTTCAAGAGCACATTATTAAATATTAGAAATTAGCAAAGATATGAAACATGTGAGTAAACAGCTTCCAGGATAGATAGATTACATCAGTGTGCAGTGGTGATCTTATCTGAAGACTAACCAATCTCTCAAATCTGTTGTAGACTCCAAATTCCAAGGATATGCAGGAAAAACTGGCAATCACAAAACTAAAGTCCTTAACAGCTTCTGCTAAGATTTCATACAGCTTAGGAAAGCTACTTCAGTAACTTGGGCCTCAATTTCCTCACTTGCAAAATTAGAGAGTTTGATAGCTATAAAAAATATGATCCTCATTTAATATGGTTTATGGCTGACATATACGGCAAGAATACAGAATGTAATCCATGGGAATGCATCAATGACTACTTATGGTGAGGCAGAGAAGTATGATGGCATTATTATAATGCAGTAAATTACTACTTTGATGTAATAAATAGTATCCTAAGTAGTCTGAAATTTTCTAAGCAGCTTGACAAGATATTTACAACAAGGAAATAGCCTATCTAAGTTGGTATTTGTGGAAGCATAATCAAATAACAATTATACATTCTAATGCATGGTACCAAAATACCAGTTAACTTTTGAAGGTCATTTTTAAAAAACAGCATTGTGTTCTGCTTACAAGAATAAAAATAGATACATTGTCAGAACATATGGAAATTAATGGCGATAAGAAAAGATGCAAAAAGCATTTGGCTGTAGAGGGATTAATAAATTCATTACAACATGTCAACCAGGTACTCTAGATAAAGAAGGTATGTTTTATATTAATCTATTTAGTAAAGTTTCATCATAAAAGCACTTGATATTTTCACTTAAAAATTAACTCACCATATAGAAGAATTTTATGAAATATGACATGAAACTTAGTGATTCAGAGCTGCCTACTTCCTCAAAGGAACCGAGATGACATACAATAAAACATGGATAAACAATATGTAACTTTGGACATCTTATTTATATACAAGTTAAGTTCAATTTCCAATATCATATTCTGACACCTATAAATAAAAGCATTTAATTTTGAAAGGTATTCCTTACGGTCACCAAGACTAAGGACTTAATTAAGTATTTCCCATATGGGATAATCATTAGACTTTTCCAGATTATTTAATTTTTAACTTCAGGTACATGAATAATATTTTTTGGAAAAAACCATAAATGTCCTTCTCTGACTCTCTCTCCCCCTAAAAAAAAACTAAACATTTTATATGTAAGAAACTGGTAATTACCCTCAAAAAAGTTGTAATACTAGGGGCGGCCGAGTGGCTCAGTTGGTTAAGAGCTCGCTCAAGAGTTTGAGCTCAGAGCAACAGTGGTTCGATTCCCGGGCCCAGCTGAACAGCTGCTGAGCTGCCACGAGGTGGTTAAAAAAAAAAAAAAGTTCTAATACTAAGCATCAAAAAACAGCACACTTCTACAACATAAACACATCCTATTATTACACCACAGTGGAACTTACCATCTTGGTTAGAAAAGTTAGCATCTGAGACTAAGACAACTTAATCTGCTTGTGTATTACGTTTGCTCTTATAATCTTATCATCAATAAATAATATACTTCATTTACTCTTAAAAGAAAAATTTTCATTTAAGTTTGTAAATTAAATATCTATAGAGCTGAACCTTTTCATTAACTGTTTCAGGGCCAGCCAAGTGGCCCGTTGTTTCAGAGTTGGCTTGGGATGCCAGCTCTGAGCAGCAGGACACCAGTTCGGATCCCACATGAGGGCCAGTGACGCTGCGCCCTCTACAGCTAAGATGGTGAACAACAGTTCAACCTGGAGCTGGGCTGCCCTGAGTCGCCGGCAACGGCGTAGGCTGCAGCCCCTGCTACAGTTGGCTGCCATGAGCTACCATGAGTGGCTGGCAGCCAGCGTGAGCGACCAGCAGCTGGTGTGAGCTGCCACGAGCAGCCATCCAATGGCTGGCAAGAGACTGCCTCACCTGGGAAGAGCGCAATGATAATACCAACATGGACCAGAGAAGCGACAACCTCCACAACTAGACTAAAGAATAAAAGGACAGCAACTTGTCTATTCCCCTTCCCCGGTTCCCCAACGCTGTTTCCCTCCCTCAATTCCCCAATAAAATCTTTGAAAAAATAAATAAGTAAATAAATAAATAACTGTTTCAATTCTTGAGTACATGCAAAAATACCAAAATGACTGGGAGCAAGAATAAAACAAAAAATCTGTTACTATATTCACTGTTATCTATTTACAAATGACTAAAGCCTTAAAAACTTTCTAAAACTGCAGAGAGAAGACATGCAGTTGCAATACTAAACTATGCATTTCACTTAGTACTGTATGAACACATTAATTTCTCTTTTTTAAGTCATTCATAGTCCAATTTCATTTCAATATTGTACAAGTATATTTCTGTGGACTCTATTAGGCAACATAAGAAAATACATTAGAAACGAATTTAATAGTCACTTAAAATAATTCTAATTGAATTTTATGTGAAATGGAGAACACATCCACAAAATTACCTGACAAGCGATGTGCACGAGGTAGACCAGCTCTTTAGATTCACAGCCATTTTTCGTTACATCATTCTGTTCTTCTGAAAGTGAAAGCTATATCAAAGAAGGGCAGAAGAGAGGGAGTCAATATTAGTGAACAAGAACAAACTAAGTATTCAGTAATACTCAGACCCTCACATCAACTTAATATAAGCTATGCCTCATAATAGAACTCTACCATTTAAAGCAGATAAATGAAGAAATCAGGATTTTTAAAAAAGGTGTGTTGCTAAGAATTGTCTTTGTAGCTTATATCTAAACCAACTCAACAGCATAACAGCAGCAAATAAAATACATTCATTCCAGAACAGTAGCAAATAAAATACATGCATTCTAGAACAGCAGCAAATAAAATACATTCACTCCAGAGCAGGCATTCCCATCCTTAACTTACAGCACACAGGCAAAAGGAAAGCATTAAGGTGGGCACTGAGAGACAGCGTGACCAACTGGTTTAACAGAGCTCAGGCTCTTTACAGGGATTGCAAACTGGCAGCCCAGAAAACAAGCTGGCTCTGCAGATGTTTTATTTTAGATTCACCATGTAGCTCTCTAAACATTGGATTTTATTTTATTTTTATTTGAACCACTAGGTAACATTTAAAAACTGAGTGGTTTTATATGAAAAATACAGACTTCTGACTTCTATTGAAAAATAAAAAAATCTTAAATACTGGACACATATTCTTACATAGGCAACAACTGGCTAAAGCTGAGATGTGACTAACCCCTTTAAATATGACATGTGTTCTCCAAGAGACTTGGCCACAGAACTGATTACTCTTTTGCCAGTATGTAGGCTGAATGTTAGCTTTCATTGATTGTGCTGCTTCTTTTGTTATTTTCTATACCCTACTCACTGTACTCATTTATCATACATACCTGCCCTAACTAGCGATGTGAGTTTGCAAACTCTGCTCCAGAGACAGAAAACCGAGTTAAAAGTGTCACTACCAGGTTGTATAATATTGACCTTGTTACTTAATCTCTCATCTAGAAAATAGGGATGACACAATAATACCTATTCTCAAGTTTGTGAGTGTTAAATGAGATAATGTATTTAAAGTATTCACCATGGTGCCTGGCACTCAGTGAGTACTTACGTAATATTATCTATCATTACAGTTGATGTTATAAAAAATGTAAGGTTGATGGAAGATATATTGTTTTTCAAAGCAGTGTCACTGTAAGTGTTAGAAAAATACTTCCTGATATTAAGAGTTTACGAAATACTGATCATTCTACACTAGACAAAACAAGCCAGAATACCTACAAAATCATAGGGTTTGTTTTTTTTTAAGTAAAAAAAAAATTAAGGGTGAAATGAAACCTAAATGAACTAAGTTGCAGAAGGTGACAAGACATTCATGAGACAAAAGAGGTTCATGGATGTGCCTGGATGCCTGGCAAAGATGGAGGAAGATAAAGAATCTCCCTTATGCTTAAAGGTAAGGAGAAACCAGCCAAACCCTGTAATACTGCATGTGGCCTGGAGTGATAAACTGAAATTCAAGGAATACCTTAAGACAGTCCACATCAACCCATCACCTGATTCCCACAGGTATTTACCAAGTGTATAAGGTCAGTACACGTAAGGCTGGGCGAAGAGCAGAACTGAGAGAGATGAATGTGTTAAGTATGTGCAGTCTCCCCAAGAACAAGGCCGCTAACGGCTACAGATGGGCCACAGGGCAGTGAAGATGAAATAGGGCAGAACTAAGCCAGATATCTCTGAGGCACTCAGGACATTCAACAACTGGTGACACAGAAAAGATGAGGAAAACCCCACAGAGGCAATCCAGGGCTTCATAGAGTACAGGGCAGCTATACACCAAGTTGTGGGGTAAGACAGAGCTCTCCTTTGGCAGAGAAAGCTGGAAAGGACTGGAGAGCAAAGAGAACTAGCACCCAGGTGGTAAAGCAGAGATAAAGCGCATGTGCTCTCTACCAGTTCAAAAACCTGGTGGCTTAGCAGTAAAGCACACAGCGATCCTCAGACATCTCACCAATTTTCAATTCTCCCTGATGGAAAAAACAAAAACAAACAACCAAACAAACAACAAACAAAAAACCTCCTGAACTTATACTCAAAATATTTAAAAGTAATGATAAAAGCAAACTAAAGCTGCCACAAAGGCCAGATCAAGTTACAGGTCAGCTTAATTCAGTCCCCCAATCAAACATGACTAACATAATCTAACATAACAATTTAACGAACTAGAAGAAGGAATAAGCCCATTCCTAGAGATAAATATTTATTGACTTCACATATTTGGCATTAAAAAAAACACACACAGGTAAGAAGGAAAAAACTGTGATCCATGGTGAAGAGAGGAAATAATAAATCACATACAAAAATGGCCCAGATATTGAAATAAAGACGACATAATTATGACAGAATTTCTAAAATTTATTTGAAAAGATAATATGTAAGAATACATGGGAAAATCTACCAGAGACTAAAACTATAAAATTCTTCAAAATAAAATGCTAGAAATAAAATCTGTCAGATATTAACAGCAAACAACACGGTATATGAAAGGATCAGTGAACTTGAAAACAGACCATTAGAAAGTATCTAAGCTAAAACAAAAAGAGAAAAAACATTAAGAATGACCAAAACTAACAATATATCTGAGATCGCTGAGCAACGTACCAGGAAACGAGAGAAGAAAGCAGAAAAATATTTGGTGAGACATCAGATGAGAACTTTCTAAAACTTTTGAAAGATATAAATTAACAAATTCAAGAAAATGCAATGAACCCCAAATAGGATAAATTTTAAAAATTTATATTATAAATTATAATAATACTTTTCAACAACAAAAATGAAGACAAAACTTTTTAAAGTAGGCAAAGGAAAAAACATATTACATAAAGGGGAAAAAATATAAAAGACAGCTGAGTTCTCACCAGAAAGAGAGGACAGAAGAGAAAGAGAAACATCTCTAAAGTGCTGAAGAAAAAGAGTATCAATTCTACATCCCATGAAAATAACCTTAAGACATTTAAAAACATAAGCACATTTACAAATGACAAAAGCTGAGAGACTCTGTCTCTAAACAGACCAGTGCAAGAAAAACAGACCAGTGCAAGAAAGAGTTAAAACAGTTTCTTCAGGTTGAAGGGAAATGCTACCAGATAAAAACCCAGAACTGCAGGAAGGAGTAAACAATACCAGAAGAGATAAATATTTAAATAAACATAAAACACCTCAATTCACAACAATAACAGATGGAAGACGTTTGAGAATATCTTACTAGTCTGGAAAAAAGAAAATAAATTAACCTAGCTTTTATTCATACCAAAACTACAAAAAAAAAAAAAAGAGCAAAAAACCAGTATTTTCTGATGAATAAAAACTTAACACATTGGGCCAGCCGAGTGGCG